TCCACTAACTTCACCGAAGGGGTGAAAGAGGGACAAAGGTTGTTCCCGGGGTCGCCTGAGGGTCTCCGTTTCATTGAAGAGTTCGTTCGTCGCTTCTTTCACCGGTTATGGCGTTCGACTACTTTCACCCGAGAAGCTTCGGGTTTAGCTCGTTTCTTGTTTTCGTCGGCGGTTGCGGCTGTTCGGAAGAGGTTGGGTGGTGCCGGCATCGAATTCCCGCTAGTGGAGAATGAGCTGGCCGAGGATCTTCCCGATGACGAGATCCCGGGGTTTGAGGGGGACGTTAATGAGGATCCCGACTTGGAATGGTGGAGGCCGGTTTACCAGGGTCTCGTCGAAGATTTCTCCCGTCAAGGGGCCTCGTCGGTGGCCATTACTGACTTCGTCGGGGACATTGAGGCCCTTGGGACGGTGATTGGTCCCAATGATGCACGTCCAGACCTCGTCTCGCCACCCCCTCCAGATGCTGAGAACCGAAACGAAGCAGATGCGGCAGTCCCGAAGTGAGGGCCGCAAAAAGAACTTAGCCATTTTTTTCGCTTGTATTTTGACTATGTATTTCGAAACATTATTTCCTTTATTTCTTTTTTTGTTATGTATCCTTAACATTTTCTCCGTTTTTTCGTACGTCAACGTGCTAGAAACTCCTTTATTCGCTATTCAAGCTTATTTTGAGTTTATGATATTCTGATTTTATGCGTTCAAGAGTAATTCTTTTAGACTTAGCAACTTTTTCTTGCATTCGAATTGAACCGATGATTTCTTAGATTCGTATCGATGATTATCCCACGATTTCATCAACCCAGGACTTACCCTGATTTTGGCAAGTCTCTTCGATTTTAGTGCAATACTTTGCTTTCATTCTAGTTTAACTCGCCTCGGTAAAATACGCGAGTTAACGCCACAATGAAACACGCGAGTTAGTGCCACAGTAGAATACGCGATTTAACGCCACAATGAAGCACGCGATTTGACGCTATAATGAAACGCGCGATCTAACGCCACAATAAAACACGCGAGTTAACGCCACAGTGAAACACGCGAGTTAACGCCACAGTAAAACACGCGAGTTAACGCCACAATGAGACACGCGAGTTAACGCCACAATGAAACACGCGATTTAACGCCACAATGAAACACGCAATTTAACGCCACAATGAAACACGCGATTTAACGCCACAATAAAACACGCGATTTAACGCCACAATGAAACACGCGATTTAACGCCACAATGAAACACGCGATTTAACGCCACAATGAAACACGCGATTTAACGCCACAATGAAACACGCGATTTAACGCCACAATAAAACACGCGAGTTAACGCCACAATGAAACACGCGATTTAAAGCCACAATGAAACACGCGATTTAACGCCACAATGAAACGCGCGAGTTAACGCCACTGTGAAACACGCGAGTTAACGCCACAATGAAACGCGCGAGTTAACGCCACAGTGAAACACGCGAGTTAACGCCACAATGAAACGCGCGAGTTAACGCCACAGTGAAACACGCGAGTTAACGCCACAGTAAAACTTAAATAAATAACACAAGGATTTTTTTAACGTGGAAACCCTCCAAATGAGGAGAGAAAAAACCACGGGGCCTAGCCCAGATCGGAAAATGGATGTTTATTGATGGTTTTTTGCCTGTACAGGGTATGTCATTTCTCGATTTATGCTAACTAACTGCTTCTGTCTTTCTCTCTCCTTTTTTTTTTTTTTTTTTTTTTTTTTTTTTTTTTTTTTTTACGCGAAGAAGCGCTTCAGATGTATTATGTTCCAAGCTCGTGGCAACGGTTTTCCTTCTACGTCTGCCAGCTCGTATCCCCCACCGGCCAAACATTCTGTGACCATGTATGGTCCTTCCCAATTGGCCTCTAACTTTCCTGTGTGCTTTAGTGCGTCAGCTCGTCGTAGGACGAGATCACCGATCTGGAATGAACGAGGCCGTACCCCTTGATCGTATCGAGCTTTGATCAGGTTCTTATTTCGTTCCATGTGTAGATACGCCGCTTCTCGTAGGTCGAAAACCTCATCCAGCTGTGTCCTCAAGGCATCATCGTTTGTCTTTTCATCAAATGTGGCGATGCGGAGTGTGTCCATTGCCACCTCGACCGGGATAACAGCTTCGGTTCCATAGGTTAACCGAAATGGTGTCTCGCCAGTAGCTGCTTTGGCTGTTGTCCGGTAAGACCAATGGACTGAGGGCAGCTCGTCTACCCAGCTTCCCCCTAGCTCGTCTAGTCTCTTCTTCAAACCGTTGACAATGGTCCGGTTTGTGGATTCTACTTGACCATTGGCCTGGGGGTGCGCTACCGCCACAAACTTCTGTGTTATCTTCATTTCCTCGCACCATGCGCGAATTTTCTTGCCGTTGAATTGAGTGCCATTATCCGATACGATGCTTCGAGGCAGACCAAACCGACAACAGATATTCTTCCAGATGAAGTGCATGACCTCGTCCTCTGATATTTTTGATAAGGCCTCAGCTTCGACCCACTTAGTAAAGTAGTCTACCGCAACAATGATGAACTTTTTCCGGCCAGTGGTTTGAGGGAATGGTCCTACCAGGTCAATCCCCCATTGAGCAAAGGGACATGGGGCACTCATGATAATCATCTCCTCCCCCGGTTTATGGATAAGTGGGGCATATTTTTGGCATTGTGCGTAGTGTTGAACGTATCGGTGTGTGTCTTCTTTCATGCCGGGCCAATAATATCCTGCCCGATATAACTTCTGTATGAGGGCCCGAGCTCCTCCGTGCTCACCACAACCACCTCGGTGTACTTCGTCAAGGACGTGTTTAGCCTCCTGCTTTCCCAAGCATCTCGCATCTATTGTAGCGAAATTCCTTTTATATAATATCTCGTGCCGCACGTAAAAGTGCCTCGCTTTATATACCAAGCGATGTTGTTCCCTTTTTGTGCCAGTTCGCTCTCCTCTGAAATACTTGAATAAAGGTGTTCTCCAGTCAGGCTCTTCATCGATCATCATGATTCCCGGTGACGGGGTAGGGGCAATGAGGATAGTGATTTTTCTTTCAACACAGTCAGCGACTGACGACCCAATTTTAGCGAGGAAGTCAGCACGTTGGTTGTCGCTCCTCGGGAGCTGATGCACCGTGCAAGCTTCGAAGGTCTCTTGTACTGCTCGAGCTTTATTCACATACCCCTTCATTCTATCATTTTTTACTTCGTAATCCCCTTCTAGTTGGTGTATCACCAATTGAGAGTCGGAGTATATTCGCACCACTCGCGCTCCGAGCTCCTGAGCGATCTCCATACCTCGGATGAAGGCTTCGTATTCTGCTTCATTATTGGAAACTCGAGGTAATCTGACGGCAAACTCGACCTCCGTTCCTGTGGGATCAATGACTATTATCCCTGCCCCCTGCTCCTGTTGCTGTAGATGAACCATCCACGTAAACTTTCCACTCCTTTTCGATAGGTATTCTGGTAGTCTCCCGGATGAAATCTACCAGTGTCTGTCCTTTGACCGAGGTGCGGGGTTGATACTGAATCTCGTATTGTCCTAATTCGATGGCCCATTTAACAATTCGTCCTGACGCGGTAGGTTGGCCCAGGGTTTGCCGAAGTGGTAGGCTCGTACGGATTACCATGGTATGCGACAGGAAGTAGGGCCGGAGTCGTCGCATAGTGAGGACCAATGCATACGCTATTTTCTCGACTTCAGAATATTTGCTTTCTGACGTAGTAAGGATTTTGCTAGTATAGTAGATCGGCCTTTGTTGGCTATTTACCTCTTTGAATAGGACCGAGCTGATCGATTCGTCGCCGACCGATAAATATACGAACAGAGTTTCACCTTTTTCGGGGGTACTGAGGATGGGTAGACAAGTAAGCGATCGTTTTAATGCGTCAAACGCGAGCTGGCATTCGGCAGTCCATTCGAACTGGGCCGTTTTCCTCAATATTTTAAAGAAAGGTAGACTTTTATCCGCCATCCGCGATATAAACCGAGCTAGGGCCACAACCTTCCCTGCTAGGGATTGGACTTCCTTGATGGAACGAGGGGGTGTCATTTGGAGTACGGCCTCAACCTTATCTTGGTTTACCTTAATACCTTCTCGATTAACAACATATCCCAGGAACTTTCCAGCTTGCACTGCGAATGCACACTTCGCGGGGTTTAATTTCATTCCGTATCGACGAAGGGTGGCAAAGGTCTCAGCTAGATCTGCGAGGTGCGTGGAACGCCTTTTGCTTTTAACTAGCATGTCATCGACGTAGACTTCAATGTTACGTCCGAGTTGAGCCCGAAACATTCTATCCATCAATCGCTGATACGTGGCCCCTGCATTTTTCAGACCGAAAGGCATTACCACGTAACAGTAGGTACCCGTGGCGGTGACAAAACTCACTGCTGGCTGATCCTTTTCGTCTAGTGGAATCTGATGGTATCCCTGTGAAGCATCCATCATACTAAGTAGTTCGCACCCGGCAGTGGCATCTACAAGTTGATCTATGCGAGGTAAGGGATAGTCGTCCTTTGGGCAAGCCTTGTTTAAGTCCCTGAAATCAATGCACATTCGCCACTGGCCGTTGGCTTTCTGTACTAACACTGCGTTGGACAGCCATGTGGGGAATTGGATTTCCCTGATGTGTCCGATGTCCAGAAGTCGCTGAACTTCCTTTTGTATGATTTCGTCTTTTTCGGTACCGAAGTGTCGCCGTTTTTGTTTGACGGGCCTGCACTCAGGTCGCAAATTGAGCCTGTGCACAGCAGTACGAGGTGAGATACCGGTTAAGTCACTTGGTTGCCACGCGAAGATGTCTTCATTAGACCGTAATAACGCTATCAGCTCGTCTCGGAGAGGTGGTTCTAAATCCTTGCTTATCCGGGTTTGTTTCATCATACCGGGGACGAGGTCGATCATCATCAATTCGTCCATAGGTTGTACATGATTAACCTTATCCTCTGGGTCAATTCGGGGGCGTTTCTCGTCTCCCAAATCTTCTTTGGTGAGGGTATCGCGTCACCCTTTCTCCGCTATCTTAACCATTTCGACATAACATGATCTCGACTGGGCTTGATCACCTCTGACCTCTCCTACCATCCCATCGACTGGGAACTTGAGCTTTTGATGAATAGTCGAAGGGACCGCACGAAAGGTATGTATCATTGGTCGTCCTATTACGATGTTGTACGAGGTCGGCGATCCTTCCACGATGACAAAATTGACAGCCTGTGTGCGGGTTCGAGGTGGCGTTCCTATAGTGACAGGGATTTTAACTTGTCCAATCGGTGTCAGGGATCCCCCTGTGAACCCGAATATCGGAGTGGTGACGGGAAAGACTGGGAGGTCAAGCTCCATCTGCAGGAAGCACTCATAGGATATAACATCAACTGAACTTCCCGGATCGACGAAGGCGCGAGCGACGTCATACCCTCCAACGTTAATCGTGATGAGGAGAGGGTCGCAATGGAAATCATCCAGATCCACTTCATCTTCAGGGCCAAATGATATAGTGGGGTATTGTCGACACTTAGGTATAGAGATTTGGCAAACTTCATGACTGTTCTTAAGACTACCGAGGTGGCGTCTCCTAGCCCGGTGAGTATCTCCTCCCGTAGGGCCCCCTGAGATCATCTGGATGTATCCTCTTTTCGGCATTGGCGGTGGGGGCGGCACTCGTGCTGGATTTCCAAACTGAGCTTCACGCTTCTGTCCCCGAGGTGGGTCTATCTTCACAAAATCTCCAATCTTGTTATCTCTGATAAGACGTTCCACTTCGTCTTTCAGATGTGCGCAATCGTCGGTCGTATGCCCGTATTCGTTATGAAAACGACAAAAGGTACCCAGTGTCGGATCTCGGCGGGGGGCTTCGCGAGCGGTCCGAGGCCATCGCAGATCAGCTCTTTTCTCAATTGCGCACAACACATGGGACAAAGGGGCTGTAAGGGGCTGATAGGACTGGTATCGAGATCCCTTAGCATCTTGGGCAGTACCCCGACAGGGAGTATTGGCATCTCTTCGAGGTAACATGGGCTCCTTGCCTCTCTTTACTTCGTTAACTCGTACGTTCGCGGCTTGGTGAGATTCTTCCACTTTCTGCTGGCGGGCTTCTTCTAAGTTAATGAACCGAGATGCCCTCTCTAGAAGATTATCAAAATCAGGCGAAGGTTCCAGCGCTAAAGCTCGGAAAAACTCATCATCTCTTAGTCCTTGTGAGAGGGCTGCCATGAGCACCTCATCGCTGGTGGTAGGGACCTCTAAGGTGGCCGAAGTAAATCGCTTAATGTAGTTTCTGAGGCTTTCCTTCTCCTTCTGACGAATGCTGAATAACGACAGAGATGTCTTCTTGCACTTCTTCGAGCTAGCGAATTGATTCATGAAAGCTTTGGCAAGTTGTTCAAAAGATCGTATGGTTCCGGGAGGTAGCAAACCGAACCATGCCTGAGCCGGTCCTGCTAAAGTGGTGACAAAGGCGCGGCACTTCACTCCCTCTGTGAGCTGGTGGAGTGACGCGGTGTTGTTGAACCGACTCAGGTGCTCGGCTGGATCGGTCGTGCCGTTATACTCGAACAGGATCGGTCGGTAATTAGCTGGTATAGGTTCGCTATCGAGATGCTTGACGAAAGGGCTAGATCCCGCGAGATCTCGCGTTGGTCCACTTCGCAGGGCCTTCAGCTCATCTATATCGCGCCTTAAGCTGTCAACTTCCGTTCTGACGCCATGACTGTTGCCTCCTCGATTCTCCGAATAGCTATCGCACTCATCCTCAGCTCGCCCTTCATTCTGGGAGCGTCTGAGATCTCTCTTGGGCCGGTTATCTTGAGGTAAATTTTGCGTGTAGTTCCGGATGGCTGCGGTGATCATGGCTTCTACCTCGTCTCTGGTATATGTACGTTCGTTGGGAGTCTGAGCCGGGGCCGTGACTGGCCTTCTCGAAGCAGCCTCGCCATCTTGGAACTCAAGGAGGGGCTACTTGAGATGAAGGGGATCCGGCCTTCCTTTTCGGGTGTAAGTAGGCTGCACCCCGACCTATCTTTCAGAACGGACGATGGATCAGCCGGCGTATCGCGAGCCGCTGCATCTAAGTCCTTTTGCAAATTCCGGGCAGTGGTATCTCCTCCTTCCATTATTCTCTACGTTGATATATAGCTCAGATCTGGACTTCCGGGGGTAGATCTGATATTTTCCCGGAAGTTGTTCCCGAGATTTTTAGATCTTTCCCACAGACGGCGCCACTTGATTTGGTCCGTGGGGCTTCGTCTTCCTTGAACCAACTTCCGTACGTACTCCGGTGGTGGTACCTGCAACGCCGGGAGGGGTTCCCTGCGGGAGAGCTCCGACGATCAAGTCAGTGGTTGGAATAGAAAAACAATAATGTATAATGTAACAGTAAAATGGTATGTATCTTGTGTAGGTTTCTGAAAGGTACGTGAAAGGCATGTGTGGAAAAATGCAATATCATTCCTTATTTATAGATGAGGAAACCTTGGCCTCCAAGGTTTTCTTTTTTAGGGTTTCTCCCTACCCTCAAGCCACACGTTTTGGGCCTCTGATTATCCTGGGCTCGTTTTACCTCGTATTGATACTGGGCCTGCGAGCTAAGGTATCCCATTTCGTCTCTAAGGTCGTACGACCTAACGACCTCTTCTGCCCTACCGGGCTAGGTTGTCATGGGCTTATCATCGTGGGCTTAATCTCATTTGGCCTTTCCAGAATGGCCCGTATCAAATATTATAACAAATGTTTAAGAAGCTACGTGTTTTATCATCCTCCACAATCTACACAACTGTCTTTTTCCTAAACTGAACAATTTTGGAGAAATCAAAGCCACAAACCAAAATTTGGCTAAACCTCCAAAATAACTCCAACCAATCATAATTCAGATAACACCATCCCAATTTAATAAATTAAATACATTTTTCTATTCCAAAAAAAGGAAAAAAGAAAAAATTAAAAACCATCACTAATTCTTCCCTCCAAAATCAATTCTTCTGCAGCTCTGCTTCAATGGGGTGCGCTTCTTCCAAGAGAATCGAGGACGCCATCGTCGTCTACCGCCCGCCGCCGTCCAGCTTCGCCGTTTTCGACGTTAACTCCATCGAGGAGCCGTGGCTGAAGGGCGGCGGCGCAGCCGAATCAGATTCAGAGGAGGAGGAGGAGGAGAAGCACTCGCACGTGCCAGCACCTATTCTGGAGAAGCTCAACGCCATTGAAGGCGCCCCTCGCTCGTGGGACGAAGTCAGCAAGGCACTGGAGGACTTCAAAGCCGCGCCGCCGCCCCCCACCGCACCTGTTTCCAGCCCTAAAAAATCTCCGGCGGCGGCGCCGGCGAACGATAGCCCCGCCGCAGCCAGGCGGAAGCTGTCGCGGAAGAGCTTCTCCTTCCACACGCTCGAAGAGCTGGAAGCTAAACCCACCACTACCACTACCAAAACAACCGAGTCGAAGCGAGTCGACTCGCCGTGGAATCACGAGTTGAAGAGATTCAACTCGGCCCGGACCGAGTCGGCGAAGAGCGGTGAAGTTGTGGTTCCGAAATCACTGAGGGAGAACATCTTCATCCTGAAGGACAAAATGGAGAGGGAGAAGGGCGGGAAGGCGGGCGGGTTCGTGAGGCCCGACCCGCTGGCGGACTTCGAGGAGAACTGCCCGCCCGGCGGCGGCGACGCGGTGGTGGTGTACACGACGTCGCTGCGGGGGGTGCGGCGGACGCACGAGGACTGCCAGCGGGTGAGGCAGCTGATGGAGACGCACCAGGTGGTGTTCGACGAGCGTGACGTGGCGATGGACGGAGGGTTCCTGACCGAGCTGAGGGAGCTGCTGGGTGAAGGTGCGGCGGCGGCGGTGCCGAGGGTGTTCGTGAAGGGGAGGTACGTGGGTGGGGTGGAGGAAGTGGTGGGTCTGAACGAAACGGGTCGGCTGAGTCGGATCCTGAACTGGGCGAAAGTGGAGAGGGGGGCGGGTCGGGTCGGGTGCGCGGGTTGTGGGGGCGCGAGATTTGTGCCGTGTTTGGAATGTGGCGGGAGTTGTAAAGTTGTGGTTGAGGGCAAGAAAGAGAGAGAGAGGTGTGGTGTGTGTAATGAGAATGGTTTGGTTCATTGCCCTATTTGCATTTGATTTTTTTTTTTTTTTTTAATTTAATTAATTGTGGAGGTAATTGTTGTGTTTGTAAAGGAATTTATGTGATGAAAAGAGTATATATACTTTCAATTGGTTTTTGTTGTTACTTAATTTTATGATTTAAGTATGATTTATTGCTTTTCTATTTTTCTCTGGCCAAAATGGTTATTGATTTTATGAAATGCAATTGAAATAAAAAATTGCATTGAATTTGGAAAATAAGAACTAAAAAAATAAACAAGGAAGGGCCCAACCGGGTTCGAACCGGTGACCTCTTGATCTGCAGTCAAATGCTCTACCACTGAGCTATGGACCCTTATTGATAACAAATGTTTCATTTTATATATTTATTACAAAACACCAACGGGACAAATGAATATTTCTTTCTTCTTTCCTTGGGGAAAAAAAAAAAAACAACTTGTGTGGTACATTTTTTTGTGTGTGATTTTCATACTATTGGTTAGTTTATTTGGATTTTCAGGCAATGTTTTTTTTTCTTAGTATCCAAGATGAGCTTGGTTGTCACTAGTTATATTTTTGATTTTTTTTTTCTTTGATTGATCAAGTAATGCTCAAATTATATCGTAAAACTGGAGTGAAAAAGAGTGTTTTTATGAAGTGTGTGTTTGGTTCATGTAAATGATGTAATGAAATTAGCTTCACTTAATTAACACTTAGGAAACATCCATTATAATATAGCTCTTGATAAGTCGAATTATTAACACATTAAAGAAATTAGCTATTTGCTCTTGCCTTAATTGGAGAAGTTAGGCATTCACTAATTATGAATGCAAGAGGCCGGTTAAAGTAGTTTAACATTTAATATAATAGTGTAGCCTAGATTATTTTACATTTATGCAATGAAAAACTAGGTTCATTTTAGGTTCACATCTTATTAATTAATTGTAATAAATATGCATTCAAATTCACCCTTTGTTTTAGTAATGAACCTATTTGAATAATTAGAGTTCACTCCTCAACACAAAATTCCTACTCCAAGAATCTCAAACTCTTTGTAAACTTGTTCGATTCTTTTAGCGAGTTGAAAGACTCTTATAATTTTTTGTGGAGTCGAAAAATGGCTACCATTGCTTGTGCATCTTCAACTATTTTGATCTTCAATAATAGTAAAGAATCAAGAAACGGGCGTTCGTTCTTTCAAGTCGGCTCAGCTGGTTTCGAGTCTAAGGGGTTCATTCCATTTTCAGGTATATATTAACACTTTTGTCCAACGCTCGTTTTTTAAATGTTTACTATTGATATAATGAATTAGTTATGTAATTTTGATAAGCAGCAAAATGTCGAAAAATTAAGGCCATGGCTCCTCCGACAGTTTCTGCACCGAAGAGAGAAACGGATCCAAAGAAAAGAGTCGTCATAACCGGAATGGGACTTGTTTCGGTTTTTGGAAGCGATGTCGATGCATATTACAATCAACTCCTTGATGGTGTAAGTGGAATCACTCCAATAGATAGATTTGATGTTTCAGATTATTCTGTTAGGTTCGCAGGGCAAATCCGTAATTTCTCCTCCGAGGGATACATTGATGGGAAAAGCGATCGCCGCCTAGATGACTGCTGGAGATATTGCTTGGTTGCTGGCCTAAAAGCCCTCGATGATGCTAGCCTTGGGAAACGAGTGCTCGATAATGTAAGGATTTTTTGTTCTTTGAAAATTTTATCGACCGCTAATCGTTTCTTGTTTCAAATAGGAAGGTTTTCAATTAGTGTGTGTGTGTGTGTGTGTGTGTGTGTGTGTGTGTGTGTGTGTGTGTGTGTGTGAGACTAAGGGTGGAAACTGGAAGAAAAATTTTGAACTCCGCCAATTTTGATCTGAATTTTTTCGAACAAAATTTTTGATCTCCGCCAGTTTTGATCCGGGTTTTTTTTCTTTGGAAATTTGGATCAATTTTTCATTATGGATTTCAAAAAGTTCAATTTCAGAATTTTTTTTTATCGGAATTGGAATTTATCCGAGATTCCGATTTTCGGTCCGATCTCAAAATAGTTCCGAAAATTTCCATTTTTTTGTCCAAAATAATTAGTTTTTCACAATTATTTTCATAAGTGCTGATCCGATCCGTCTGATTGCCACCCCTATCTGTGACAGATGGACAAGACCAGAATGGGGGTGTTGGTAGGGTCGGCCATGGGAGGCGTTACAGCTTTTAGCGGCGGAATCGAAGCCCTAGTTCGAAAGGGACACAAAAAAGTATCTCCGTTCTTCATTCCTTACTCAATCACCAACATGGGGTCCGCATTGCTTGCTATAGAAACGGGCTTTATGGGGCCCGTTTACTCCATCTCAACGGCTTGTGCCACCGCAAACCACTGCCTATGTGCCGCCGCAAATCACATCAGAAGAGGCGATGCTGATGTCATGGTTGCTGGTGGGGCCGAATCCGGCGTTAATCCAGTTGGCGTTGGAGGTTTTATAGCTTGCAGAGCGTTGTCTCAAAGAAACGATGAACCGCATAAGGCGTCTAGGCCGTGGGACAAGAACCGTGATGGTTTTGTTATCGGTGAAGGCGCCGGTGTACTAGTATGTCCCTCTCTCATTTAACTATTATTAGCAAAAAACTTCATGTATTGTCAAATTGAAATGTTAAATATCGTTTCAGTTTTTACTAATACTGTTATGATTTTGAACGTGAAGTTGATCCTTCTTTAGTTGAATATTTGGCAAAATTCAAAATATGGAAACTGTAGGCCTTTGATTTAGCTTTCTAATCAAACTTGAATCAGTTATATTTAATCTTAGGTGACAAAGTTATGCATGAATGAGTTACATTTTAAATTTTAGATAATTCAAAGCATCAAAGTTGTAGATTGTGTTTATTGATTGATGCATATATTTCTCACCCGACAAGCAATATTGGTGATTCAAGTTGGATTAGAAAGTTAACTCGAACAAATACATTCCCTTGTTTTTAGTATTTCCAGACTCATACTTGAACATGGTCAAAATCATGTTTGAAGTCAAACTTGTATTATTAAATCTGAAACGACATTTATCGCATCCCTATATCAAATTGCTAAAAAGAATTCCTATTGTAAATATTAGCAAAAAAAACTCTCTATAATGCATTTTTTTAGCATGCGACCCCCTAAATGGTGTATTTTTAGGGGATAGTTTGCTAATGAAGTTGAATCGTATGCGCCCTTTTCTTTTTTTTCTAATATCTGATAACACGAGGAATTTTTCAGCAGTTCTACGTACCCGGGGGTACTAAATGCAATAAAAAAGCCCTTTTTCTTAAATTTACGAGATACTAAAAATCCGAATAATATCCACAGATCATGGAAAGTTTGGAGCATGCAATGAAGAGAGGAGCCAAAATAGTTGCCGAATTCTTGGGAGGTGCCGCCACTTGTGACGCTCATCATTTGACAACTCCTCGTTTAGACGGGCTCGGTGTTTCGTCTTGCATAATCAAGGCCTTGTATGATGCAGGAGTGTCCCCTGAAGAGGTCGATCGTTTTTTCTTCCTTTTTCTTCCTTTTTTTTTTCTCTGACTAAGGCATGAAAAATATAATTGTGTTATATGGTATGTTAAACAATTTTTTTTTTTGCAAGTGACAGGTTAATTATGTAAATGCTCATGCAACATCTACACCTGCTGGAGATTTGGCTGAAATCAATGCCATCAAGAACGTCTTCAAAAATACCTCTGAGATAAAAATGAATGGCACCAAGGTTAAAATTATTTCTATTAATAAGATTTTTGTTCAATGAATGTTATGTTGCTATATATTAATATTTGGTTTTTGGGCAAATTACGGCCACCTCCTGAAATATGATCAAATTATGAAAAAACTCCTCTTGTTTAGGTAATTACAGTCACCTCCTCCTTTTAAATATTTTTACATAAAATTTATGTAATTCGGTTATTTACCGAACCAAATCGTATATCCAGTTCGGTAAACGGTATGAAATGTTGGCGTACCGAAATTTCGGTTCGATTTTACCGATTATAACATTCCTAAATTTACTTCTGAAGGGGTATTTTCGTCAGATAATACATAGTTAAGAGGGAAGTTTTCGTAATTTGATCATAACTCAAGGGTGGCCGTAATTACCCCTTTATTTTTATTGCAACTATAGTTTGTGATCATATTCCAGACGAGCTAAATAATTTACTTATTTTTAATTTTCATGGTTTAGTCGATGACTGGGCATGGGCTCGGAGCTGCCGGGGGATTGGAAGCGATAGCAACCATTAAAGCAATCAACACCGGCTGGTTACATCCAACAATCAACCAATATGTAAAATCAGTACAAAAATAAAATAAAAATTGTAATTAATTACGAAAATTTGCTAATAGTAATTGCATGTCTTGATTTTTACCTTTTGCGTGCAGGATTTGGAGCCAGCTGTGACTATCGACACTGTCCCGAATGTAAAGAAACAACATCAAGTAAATGTTGGTATGTGAATCAATTTAGTTTCTTCTGACGTAAACTTTCTAGCTAGCGTTCGATTATAAAAATCATAAATGCACAATATTAAGTAAGAATTATGATCATATAATGAAGCTTCTTGATATTGATTTTATATAATTTTATTGCAGCCATATCTAACTCGTTTGGCTTCGGCGGGCATAATTCAGTTGTCGTCTTTGCACCCTTCAAGCCTTAAATGATTCGGTCATACGATTTCAAGGAAAGTGCACTTGCGTGATGGTATTTTCTTGATAGAAGCGTCGAGAATTCTAGAGGTATTTCATAAAAATTAGCGAAACAAACGAAATAAATATTTCTACTCCCTCCGCAAATAGTTGTTGTTTTGGATTTTTTTTTCATCTCAAATTAGTTGTCACTTTAGAATTTGAATGAGGTTTTACCTCCACAATTTTTTTTTTTATTTTGCACTTTCACATTTATCATTTTTAATTAATATAGAAAATATTTTCCCCCATCGAAAACAGAGGTTTTCAGAGAAAAAATTCCACGAAAAAAATTACTTTTTGCATTTTTTTGAGTCTTCTCTGACATCTCTCGATTGTAGCCCACCATTATGCAAGGTACCTGTGCCTCCGGATCCAAACATCCCCGTTGTTTTTCTGCGTTTTATCGTCTTCTCCGACGATGGGGGCGATTAGGGCTTTGGCGGTGGTGGCGATTAGAACTTTGACTGGAGTTTAGTAATTTGCAAAAGAAGATTCGGCTGGTGTGGAACTGTCAAGGAGAAGTTGGTAGTGGAGAAGACGAGATGAGCAGAGGAGGCGGGTGGTGGAAGGAAAGGCGGCGGCGGTGTGAATGATTGCCGGAGGTGGTGTTCTGAGTTTGGTGGTGGTGGTGATTTTCCTTTTTTTTTTTCCATAAAAAATGTGTTTTTTTCCCTTTATTTAAGAAATTTTAAACATTGCAATTTGATCCAAAGTGTTGGATTAATTACATTTAAATCGATTTCGATTTGATATTTGGGAAAATTACAATTCAGTCCCCCAATTTAAGTTTCACAAGTTAGTAAAATTGCAATTTGACCTCTATTATATATTAATTATAATTTTAGGTTATTAATTGAAGGGTAATATAGTCACATTCTTTTGGTCAACATATTTATTTCCATTAGGGGTAGGGGGTAGTGTACTAAATAAAATGCAACATATAGGGTTAATTGCTAATGTTTTTAACATGAGGGCTTTTTTAACTTACAAAGGGGGTTTGTGCAAATAAATCAATATTTTTTGGTGGAGTAAAAGTTAATAATATAAAATAAAATAATAAAATATATCGTAAATAACATTTTGCCACCTAAACACTGTCACAGTGCAATAAAATTGAAAAAAAAATTGCACGATCCCACCTGAACTAGATTATTTGTGCCACATTGCCATATATGACTCAGGTTCAGGCCAAAATGGTCGAAACTAAGTGCGCGTCGCCATATGCAAATTTGAAGGGCATTTTTGTCTTTTCAATTTTTAAAGCCATAATTTCCAAATTTTCCCTCTATTCATCGCTCATTCTTCCCTATTTCCTCCTATAATTCATGCATATCTAATTATCTATTATATTTCTTTATCTGATGGAGGGAGTAAAAGTTAATAATAGCATAAATTAATTACGGGTGCACTGCATCAGTCCGTAGCTGATTCCGCCCCTGAATAGTTGGGAAATTGGTTTACGTATGTCTTTATTCAGTAAAATGCTAGAATTACACTTTTAGTCCGTTATGTTTCACCCGATTCCATTTTTAGTCCCCTTTGTTTCAAAGTGAATAAAATACACCTTAAAAGTTGTTTTTTAAACATATTTGGTCCCCTCCGTCACATGAGCGTTTTTTATTTTGTTTTGGGGCTAACAAAAACGAAAAATTGGAATGTAACAACTCGCTCCAAAATAAAAAATGTCCGAATCATAATAAGCGGAAATCGGAAAATTCCAAATATTTAGTCACTTAATTTATAAAATGTATAATAATATTGATATTATAAGTGCAATTAGAAGGGGGGAAATCAGACTTTCGAAAATCGAAACGAATTGGAAATTGGAATCTCATATATATAATTTTGATAAAAATAAAAAATAAAAATAAAAAAGTTCGGAACCGGTTTTTGGAATTGGAATGAATTATATTATTCCAAAATAAAAATAAAAAATCACATTGAATTTGGCGAAAATTGGAAATTCTATTCCAATTACAACCCCTAGTGTTGGTGTATCATCTCTATTCGGCCAGTCGGATTAGAAAAATAAACTTTCGTAAATGCTTGCGATATAACGTACCTAGTAACGAAAAAAAAATGATGAAAATGCCTCCGTGACTTTTTTAAAACAATTTGAAGCGACAATTTAATTCTGCAAAATGAGATTAATTTATTATAAAGTTTACAACGTTAACTACTCTTAAACTACCTTGTGAGTAGGATCTAAGTAAATTATATCCTAACAACAAAAATCAAAGCTAAACATCTACGGTAGAACCTTAATAAATTAATAATTCGATCGTTTAAATAATATTTTCCTTCGATCCCGACTTAGACAAAATGTATTAAATTATTTACTAAATTAATATAATTTTGTCAATTACGACTTTATTAATTATAGAGGTTTAAATGTACCCGTAATAAATATGCATTATGCGGGAAATCAATTGCCCTCATAATCTTTGCAAGCTTGTTGAGCCATGATGCCGAACCTATCTTAGTAGTAATTAAGAAGACTATGGAAAGATGAAATAAAAAAAAAAATCAAAATTTAAATTCATCCCCATGTATTTTTATTTGTAAAATTCACCTAATAATATAATTTAAATCACTTTCTGAACTCTAACTTCACCAATATCTCCCATTGACCACAGATTTAACAAATATATCACATTCATCCCATTTTCACATAAAAAAATTAAAAAAAAAAAGTTCAGCATATATTTTTTCTGAACTCTTTTGTTCCAGCCAGTCGCCGGCGTTGACCGCTGGTCTCCGGTGTTGACATTTCATTTTTTATTTTATTTTTCCAGTCGGTCTCCGTCGTTGACTTTTTTTCTTTTTTGAATTTGTTTTGTTATGAAATTTTGACCGACGGTGACGGTCAAAATTGGTTAACTGTAGCTAAATTAGAGCTAAAATCATGAAACTGGAGTTGAATTGAGGTTTGAAGGAGTTAAGGATAATATTAGTATATATGAAAAAAAAAAATCCTTATTACTAAATAAATTTGAATAAAGTGGATATATATGCAAGCCAAAAAATTACGATATCCCTCTTTTAATCGAGTTTCTTTTGTCAATTCGTCCTAAAAGTTAGGCAGTGACTATGTCAGAATTAGACTCTTCATTCATCTTGCAACTGAAAAATAAATGTAATTAGAAGTAGTTGAATATTTAATAACAACAGCGAAGCCTATAGTATTCCATATTATGGCTATGGAATTAATTCAACTTTTTAATACTAATTAACAATAAACATGCATTCATGTCTAGTCATCTTTTCTTTAGCAATGAATTGCTTTGATACAAATAGCAAGTTTCACACAACCTAGTTTCTTTCAAACTCTTGCTTATAACTTGTTCGATTTTGTGCAGCAGTACGTTTCTTAATTCCGTTCGGATTCATTTACAAGATTACCGTTTTGAAATTACGGAGAGTCATCCATCTCGTTGCCTAATGTCTAGCTTCGCTTGTGCATCTTCGCCTGGTTTGATCTTCAACAAGAGTAAAAAATCAAGAAACGGGGCTTCGCTCTTTCGTTTTGAGTCTAAGGGGTTCATTCCATTTTCAGGTGCATATCAATAATTTTGTACAACACTCTTTTTAAAATGTTTGGTATTAATCCGATAAATTTGTTACGTATTTTTGATACGCAGCGAAATTCCGAAAAGTTAAAGCGATGGCTTCTCCAACAGTTTCTGCTCCGAAGAAAGAAACGGATCCGAGGAAAAGAGTTGTCATAACCGGAATGGGACTTGTTTCGGTTTTCGGAAGCGACATTGATACATATTACAATAAACTCCTTGATGGAGTGAGTGGAATCGCTCCAATAGATAGATTTGATGCTTCGGAATATTCCGTTCGGTTCGCGGGGCAAATCCGTGATTTCTCTTCCGAGGGATACATAGACGGGAAAAACGACCGTCGCCTTGATGACACCTGGAGATATTGCTTGGTTGCCGGCAAGAGAGCCCTTGATGATGCTAGCCTTGGCAAACAAGTCCTTCAAAATGTGAGCAATTTTTTTTAAGGACGTCATAGTCAAGTATCTAAAACGAGTATTAATTCATATATTAATACTAATTACCAAATACAAAATACTTATCGCTGTAGTATGGATGGTGATCGAACAAACGAAGTACTAATTACGAAATACAAAATATTATCACTTAATATAAGCATTGGATGATAATTTTTTCTTAGTATAGAAAATTTGTAGTTGAAATATATCGGAAGGTATTGGATTTTTATGTTTAGGGTAAATTACAACTACCCTGAGGTGTGGTCAAATTATGAAGAAAAAAAACTGTGTTGTTTGGATAATTACATCTAGCCCCCTCAGCTATGATTTTTTTTTTTACACCTCCACTCTTATGGTGTCAAATTCAACATAATCATCTAGATTGTACTCGTTTTGTATAAAAATACAGTTTCTGATGCCCCACAATCCTATATATGCAAGCCAAAAAACACATATTACGATCATCTTGCTTCAAAATGTGGAGTTCGAATGTGATAATTAAACGTGTACAAAAGTAATAATATTCCATATAATCTAGAAGATTCCACTAAATTTGAAACCGCAAAGGTGGACGTGGAAGAAGATTTATAGTTGAGGGGTGGTTGTAATTTAACCATATCTTTATTTTACAAACAAAAAACACTTGTTCTAACTACACAAAATCGAACAAATATATAAAATAAATTACATATTAATTTTGTTAAATTCGGGCAGATGGATAAGATGAGAATGGGAGTGTTGGTTGGATCGGGCTTAGGAGGAGCGACGACTTTCAGCAAGGCAATGGAAGCGCTAATTACGAGCGGTTACAAAAAGCTAAGTCCGTTTTTCGTCCCTTACATAATCACCAACATGGGGTCCGCGGTACTCGCTATCGATACGGGCTTCAGGGGCCCCGCCTACTCAATTGGGACCGCATGTGCTACTGCAAATCACTGCTTCTTTGCGGCCGCGAATCATATCCGCAAAGGCGACGCTGATGTCATGGTCGCCGGTGGGGCCGAGGCGGCCATCCAGTGGCGAGGCCAGAAAGTTTGGTGAGGGGGGGCTTAAACACACGGGGGGTTCGGGGGCAGCGCCCCCGAAAAAAAATCTGCTATAAAAGAAATTTGAGATGAAAATTTGATACGAATTTTTTTCCCTTCACTTTCAGATGATAATCCAAAACGAATCGTGAAAGCTAAATTGCTATAAAAATTTAAGAAACATGAATATCAAGTCGATTATCAAATTGACACAATCGACTTCTAATTGATACCCAATCTGAAAATTAAGATGAGAGAGAAGTTGTCAAATGCTAAACGATTGTCGGTGGGTGGCAATTTAACTGCTATTAGTGAGACTGTGGGAGAGAACAAAGTTTTTTTTTTCTTTTTCAAGAAACGTAACGAAGTTGAAAAATAGAAGATGAGAGCAAGTCAGACATGGGGGGCTTTAAGTAAGTGGACTAGAAATATATGGGCTTAAATAATATAATTGGATAGATTAAAAAAAAGAAGATATAATTGAATAGGCTAAAAATATAAATAAAATATACATGGAGGGCTTTGAGTAAATAGACTAAAAGTAAATGGGCTTAAATAATATACTTGAATAGACCTAAAAACTTAAAT